CCAGCTCCCAGCCCCAGCTCCTCCCCAGCTTTCCTCCTAAAACCCGACCGGGCTGTGCCCGGACCGTATTTTAACAACCACAGACCTCGCGGAGCTTCCCGTCCTCCCCACGCCCCGGAACCCGCGCGGCCCCTACCCCGAGTCCCAGAGAGTCCCATTCCCCGTCCCTTCTGCGGGGACCTAGACCTGTGTTCCCCACCGCCTGCAGTGCCCTTCCGAGCCCGAAATTGCCGGCCCCGACGTCACCTCCATCGCGGCTCCCGGACCAGGACGCGTGACCGTCCCTCCGCACCCAGCTCAAGCGCTTCTCTGGAAGTCACCTTCAAGCAGACCTGCCTCTCCGGCCCCTGGCTGCATTCTCCAAAGCGGAGGAAGCGTTTGCTCCACGAATTCGCGTCTCCGCGTCCACGAGAAGCCCTTTACCCACATTATCAGATTCCGACCAGGAATCACAAGTCAGTCTTGCAACCAGACCCCAGCTCGGACTCCCCAACTGGGAGCGGATTCTGTCCCTCCTCCTTAGCATCTCCATTATTTGCTACCCTTGCTGCCAGTTCACCCACGTAAATTGTAAGCTCCTTGAAGGCAAAGAGGAGGATTTTATAGAATTCTCAGAGCAATGAGCGCACTCGAGCACAAGGTGCTGAAATATTTGAGGTCGTGGTTTTTTTTAAAAAGTCACGCAGAGAGTACAAACTCGGGATAAAAGGGATCATCGGTGTACAATGAACAAGTACATCTCATATACAAACCCAGATACAATGATACACTAAACACTAAGTATAAACATGGCTGCTGCTCATTACCATCAGTTTAAAGATCGCCACTTTCAAAAACAGCTTAAGCATTCACAAGGTGGATCGCCAAGCTGAGTGGTGCTGTAATAATTTTATCTCTAAAGAGCCTCCAGTGCTGTCACTGTTGCCCACGAGGGAGGAGAAAGGAGCATTGAGGGACATCTGCAACGCCCAAACTCAGATACCAAGCTAGTATCTGAAAAAAGGGGCGAGCGGTGCGGAGACTGCAGCCTTAAACAGGTAACCAAAAAAGTCAATTTAACGCCAGGCGCGGTGGCCCACGCTTGTACTATCCGCATTCTGGGAGGTGGAAACGGGGGGCCAGAAAATTCGGAGCCCAGCGTGGGCAGCTTAGCGACCTACTGAGACCCTGTCTCAAAACGAGGTGCTAGGAATGTAGCTCAGTGTGAAGGCCCCGGTTCAATCCCCTGGCAATACAGGAAAAAAAAAGAATTTACGTTAAACCTTTCATCTTGAGTTGGGTTGTTTATGCGGCAGTGCTTAGTCGTAAAGTGTAACCCCGGTAGACCATGCCAAAGCTCGGGCAGGCAGGTCTCCTAGACTGAACCCGGATCGCCTCTCTCCGCCTGTGCAAGACCCAGAGGGAAGCTAGCCAGGTCCCGAGGAGCGGGTCGCGTTCTCAGTTGTCCACTTTGTTCTCCTTGTCCATCGTGCTGCTCTCCCTCCGTTAAAAACACCCACCAGTTTAGCGGACACTGTTTTGCTTAAATATATTTTATACCCCATCAATTGAGTTTCTCTTACTTTTCAGCAAATTCTGCTTTCTTCCCTCCCTTTTTAATATAAACGTTTGAAGAGAAGTAAAGATGCTGGAGATCACGGAGGGTCTTTGAATTTATATCACCTTTTATGAAATGGTGAAATTTTGCTGTAGTTACCATGACCACACGTGTGGGTGCTCGGCTAAAGTACGTCGCAGTGGATTGATCATAAAAGTGAAATCGCATCCCCTAAACACATCAGGACTACTGTACCAGAAACACATCCTGTACAATAACAAGTGTGTACTAGAAAGATACATGAACCTTAAAAGATTATAGAAATGGTCAACAAGAGACACAGACACACACAGTTACAATACACATCTAATGGCAATAAATTTCAGCTCTTACCTGGTCACGTAATCCATTTTACTCCTTTTCTGGATAGTCCCAAATCACTGATAATCAGCCACCAGTACTACTCAAGGTAACATGCTTCCGGTGAGGAATCACAGCCATTTTCTACTTCGGGAGAGCAAAGCCTACAGTCTCAAATCTGAGGTCTTCCACTTTCCTACTCAACAGCCAAACCAGTCCCTCTTCCTCTCTCTCAATAATCTGCATTTCATCTACATTTGAATCCCAAGAGTCCAAGAGGAGATGGGGGTGGGGCTTTAAAGACAAAAGGAGCCAAAATCTAGTAACCACTGCTCTGCATGCCAAAGGCATTTTCAGTTTGGGTGACTGAGAAAATTTGCCGACCTGGAATTCTCTTTCAACACTTCGTACCTTCCTCAGGGTCTTGGCTACCTGCTCCAAATCTCAAAATTTACTTGTTTTGATGAAGGATCAATGTTTGTTTAAATACACAGGCTAACAAGGAAATTGAATGCTGTTCTTGTTATGGGATCCCCACTCCATAAAACTTTCTAGAATTCCCTAACCCATTTCAAAGGAAAATAAGAATGAATCCAACCTAAAATAAAGAGACAGAAGACCAGTCATAAGATGATTCAGAAGCCAGGGCCTTCTTTGAACTTGAAGCCAACTGGTTTTTCCTTCCCTATGAGTTTAAATTGGATACCAGTGCTCTTTTCTGGCCAACCAATAATGTCTGATTCCTGGTCTCAGCCGCTGTTTCCTTCCCTGGTCAAATAGTCAATTTCCCCATTTCAGCTGGCAGCCTCTCCCTGCCTCTGTCCGTCCCGGTCCTTGAGTATCATTTCTCTCTTTCGTGTCAAAGCTGGTAGCCAGCTGCCACACTGCTGCTTTCTGGCCAAATACCACCATTTATGGAACTCTTTGCACTATTGATAGCAAATCTGAGACTTCTTAACATCTGATTTCATCAACTTCTTCCTAGGCAGAGGTACTACCACTGCTTAAAACTGGGAAATTTACAGCTAAGGGCCATTTTCTTTTTCATCTCAATGTAGCATTATCTATGTATCTATCTGTCCATATCTCTATGTCTGGCAGTTTATGTCAGGTGGGCCTTACATTCACTATGTAGACCAGGCTGGCCTTGAACTCTAGAGCCTCCTGCCTTAGCCTCCCAAGTGCTGGGATTACAGGCATGCCCCTCCACACCCAGCTAGATCTACTGTTCCTTTTTTATTTAGCTGATGGTGATTCTATCCAAAGTATCTTTGTAATATGTATTTTTTCCCCAGTGCCAGGGATCAAACTCAGGACCTTGAGCTTGTCAGGTTGGCATGATGCCACTGAGCTACATCCCTGACCCTGTAATATGTATTTTTGGACCTTCTTTAACTGGAATAATTGATCAAGAGCAAGGTATTTTTCTTATTGATAACTGTATATATTACCCCAACTTCTGGAGAGAAAAGAGACCAAAAGTCATAAAGAGCAAAGAGCCACAAGACACTCCCATGACTTTTTGATCAATTTTATATCAGAGAAGTAACAAATTCATTGTGGATTCTCAAAAAACCAGTAAAGGTAACTTTCCTTTGAATTATTGTGATTAATTATGTTTATCAATCAAGTGAAACTCTCCTAGTAAACTTTTCACCCTGGGGGGGGAGAGGAAAAAGGAGGGGGAAGAGGGAGGAGGAGGGGAGG